ACCCCTCTGTTATGTATGCTATCACGAAATTACCATGATCAAATTTGAAAATATGGCGTCCGCGCGGCCGACCTTCAAAATTTTCAGGTCGGATTTTTCTTTCATTTGCGATCGAGTTAGACCTTGTGGAACTCAGAATGTAAAGTAACAATGCTATAGAATACTCTGCTTGGAAAAGAATGGATATCAAGGTCTTAAAGGTGACAGAATAAGCTCTCGAGTCAACGACACTACGATTCTCAAGGCGATGTGGATTATGGACGTAAAGTGAAAACCCAACTTTCGGACTTCAAGCAGGGCCTAACGACAATTTGACGATTCGATGGCCCGGTAAATTTTATGTTCGAGTAACAATGTATTCAGAAAGTATTGTTTAATAGAAGATTTTGCGTCAAATCGAAGTTTTTTCAGAATTTTCAACATAACGCTGCGCAATTTCTGGTCTTGAAGGCAAGTAAACGACAACGATCTAAGCATGATGAATTTTACCGCGTGGGCTTTGTATACGTAAGAAATTCGTACGTTTTTCGCTTATAACAGCAAATCAAGAACTGTTTTGAATAAATCTGTCGTCCCGAAATATTTCTTGGCCATTTTAGTCTTGCTTCCTATTGATAGATTTCGTGGAACTTGAGATCTCTTCACTCACGGACAAATTGGCATATTCCATTTTGAAATATGATCCACATGCCACTTACACACCTGAGAAAATATTTAGCGATTTTTATCTTTCATCTTGATTTTTGAGTTAAAACGTAACTGGCACCTATCGCTTTTTCCGTCGGAAATAAGTTCTTTAATTAGTCTTCTTTCACTGGAGCTTGTTTTTTGGAAAAGATGATTTTTAAAAATTTACTGCGGATTGTATTTGCTTTCTTGTTTTCTCCAAAATTTTGACTTTTCACAGGCACGTGTTACATGTAAGTGTCAATGGGTTTAATCTATACTGGATGAATTTTTGGCTAAAAATTTTTAATATATGTAAAGAAATTTACAAAATTTTCACTTACTGGGAGCTCCGGGCTTGGCTAAATCTATATATTATTGATATTAAGAGGAGAAATTTTGTCTTGGTCACTTTAGAGTTAAAGGGTTAGCTGAGTTCACTTATTACTTTCCATTTACAATTCTTGCGATACCTTGGCGAGTTCTTCATTACTTTTAGCAATGATTCTTTCTCTAATAAACTCCTTCTGCTTCTTCTCCGACATTCCCTTCCATGAAGATGGCAGCGGTTTAGTGGTTTCAATCATAAACTGGTCATCCTCTTCAGGGAGGGTTATCCAAAGACAGTACAACATTTTGGCAGTAAACGTACATTCAGATAGAATCCTACCATAGCCATTTCTGTGTAGACCAATAACCTATTCAAAATTTAAGAGGTGTGATTGGCATGGAAGCCTTTTACCGCAAAAGATTATTACACAAGTGCAACAGATGGCAACACTAGGAATATGTTTCTCTCTTAAAAAAGCCTAATGGCCACATTCGTTACTAGGAGCGGGAGCAGGTTTTTGTGAGGAAAGAAAGTTGATTGACCAAGAACTTAAACCAAAAAACATTTGAAATCAAACTGGCTCCCCATATGCTCTATGTAACTAGTCCGTCAGACTTACTATCTTAACAGTAATGGCAAGACATGTTTTTTCACCCTCAATAATAGCAGCTTTGTTAATGTACCACGGAGAGAGGTAAGATATCGTGAAAACAAACTGGCCGTGTCTTTAAAGAACTAGGAAATGTAATGTCAGATAAGGGACGATGAAGAAGTGTTATGTCCACAGCAGTTAATGATAATAACGATGAGAACAAAGACATTCGTGTAAGTGATATTCAAAAACTCCTACTCTATTCTATATACAAGGCTAAAAGATTAGGAAAAAAAATTATGAACATGTTTAAACCAAACGTTTTAGGCTGTTTGCCATCATCAGGGTGATGATGGCAAACAGCCTAAAACGTTTGGTTTAAACATTTTAATAATTTTTTTCCTAATATTTTAGCCTTGTATATAGAATGTCTTTTATTAAGCGAACATCATGGACAACTCCTACCCTGTTTGCCAGCAAAACGGATGCCGCAGCTGCACCTGGTTTAGATCCCTCAATTCCAATATCACCAAGAGTCATATCACCATGGTAATAGACCACACTATTGGTGATTTGGAGGAAGGTGTTCATCTTCTTCTCTTTGTAACACAGCGCCCCAGCAGGGTAGGGACAGAAGCCAGATTTGTGAGGGTCAATAGTGATGGTGTCGCATTGGTCCAAAGCTGACAACTGATCGTGGACATAGGAACTCAGATATAACTGAGGCACAAAGCCATAGTCTTCCGGTGCTTTAAGATAAAAGTTTTTGGGTTGATCACGTAACATGCTGCAGAAATATCCACCCCAGGCTCCGTCGGCATGGATGCTAAAGTCGAGCCCCTGCAATGATAGAGCAAGAAAGATGTTTTCTGTTTGTTACGAGCGTGAGACAAAGGGAAAAAATTGAAAGCCCAAGAGGAATGGAACCTTAAACTTTTGGAATCTGCGCTCCGACAGCTGTAGTCTCTATGTTACGCGTGCACTAATTACGCAGGCCACCCCATCTTTTTAAATTACAATCTTGCACGAGAATGACGTCCATGATACCTACTTTTATGATTGGTAATGTTTTTGTCGAGGAGAGTCGTATTTTAAGGAATATTGTGTTCAGGCTAGCTTTACCAGCCTTCTGTGTCGGGGCTGTTTTGGACGTACTATCTCTTGAAGAGTGTTCTGGAATCTGCTTAAAATATTCGCTTCCTTAATGGGCTGTGTCGAAATGACTTTTCTCTCCAGCTAGTCCTAGACTCCCGCAATACCTTTCTGAACAACCTTCGCGTTTACCATGCCCATCTGTTTTTACCTTTTTACTGAAATCTTTTCGTATCTTGAGGATATCAGTGAGAGGATCAATCGAGCTTTCCTCAGTGGTTCCCATTACTGCGACAACTGCCATCACAGGAACCTGCGTGTCTAGGTACTTCTCCAAGATGTCTTTTAAAACTAGAAAGGAAATGTATATTTTATCGAATGCATCACGGGCGGTTTATCAATCCAAAGTACGTCGCTCCTGATCCAGCATGAGACTCGCAATCTTCACTATTCTACGTGGTAGTTAGCATTCGCGCTCTTTACGTTTCTCCTTACTTCTCTTGTTTTTCTCCCCTTCTCTATTTCTCCCTTTTTTCTAAAATGAAATTGCTTACCGCCTGCGTCCATCCGGGAGTTTTCATCAACTGCCACTGGAACGAGGCTATTTTTACCCAATCCCAAAATGGTGACTGCCTTTGTGAAGGAAATATGAGCGGTACTAGATACTATCACGCAGGTCTTCTCTATCAGGGGATGGCGGCGAGCAAACTCAGCTGCCCCAACAGACTCGTAGAGATGATCTGACAGTAATTCCATGAAATCACTGGAATTTTCCAGCCCAGCCAGTTTTTGCACCTCCTCAGGCATAGTGAGGATGGAGGAGGTGTCAAGGTTGAGTAATTCCCATTCAGTGCCACTGATCAGTTCCCCTTTCGTTCCCCTTTGGGGAAAGAAGACCTGAAGTAAAAAGCGCATGCTCACGGTCTGCTTGCTGTTCTGATGTTCTCTGTCGGTCAAACCTAACACCCTTCAACAAGCCGTAACGACACATACCCGTCCCAGACTTCCGCGAGCAATTAATTGAGAGAGGACTCATTGGGTTTGAGCTTTAGTGGAAAAATAGTACTCGGTATTAAACGATTGAAAAATACACAGGCTAATGAAATGAGTGCAAGAACGTAACTACTGTCTTTTGAAAAGTTTGGTCTGGCTCGCATCTTATTACGATTAATGAATACTATTAATTGATGGATTTTAAAACTCCATTCTTGTGTCGTTCGGGTGTTTCTCCAAATAATATCATTCTAAAGCATGTGTGAAGGGTTAACGAAGGGATGTGATCTTAAAATTTAAACTACTCTTAGGAAATACTACCTCATAATGTTTCGCATTAGCCAATTTCTCCTCTTTGCACAGAGCCCTTCGTAGTCCTAATGGAAAGAACTTGACCTTTCGTGCTGCCCAAAGAGCTTCAATGTTGGCGACCGTCCCTCCAGTCACCAAATGTCCCATGCTTTTTTTCGGATCATATCCCATCATGACACACAAGTCGGTCCCAACCTCCAGCTCGAACGAGGTTGTCACGGTGGATGCCTCAGCTGCACAGTTGTTTTGATTGTATAACAAAGCGCAGATGTAACCAAGATGAGCTGGCATAGCTACATCCCAGTTGACATGGCCCTATGTTGTCAAATGACACGAATAAAATTATGGAACCATATTTATCCCAAGTTTTTTGGACGCAAACGTGCAATTTAGTAAAATGTCAGTAACTGCTATCAACAGTAGTCCGTCTAAGTTTTTAATGACATCAGTTACTGGGACGATTCGACTACACGATCAAACTACCATTTTTTACCGCTCCCTAGATGATGTTACAAACCTGTATGACTGTTGTTCATCCAATATGATTTCAAGCAATTTTCAGTTGAGCGTTAATGGCATTTTTCCTTTCTTCTGATCGGCTGTTGTTATTACTTTGGTTTTAGTTTTACGATAGCCAATCGAAAAGCGGTTTATATGAAACAAAAATCGTTGGGCTGGGCGTCCTGCTTAGTGCTAGGATCAGCTAGGTGCAAACCGTTCGTATGTATGAATATGATTGAAAAAAAGGTAGGAGTTAAATTTCTGTCAGCTGATGATGATGATAATGAAACGGTAGTTGTTTATGGTCACCTTGTATCTGGAGCTGTAGAATGGCACAGAATTCATCATTTTATTTTGAAGTTCTTCCATCTCAGTTTTTAACTTGTTCATGGAAGCTTTAAATGCGTGTGTATCACGGAGCTCATCGGTCACGTAAGGAGGATCACACGGAAAATATCTAAAGCGAAAATAGTCATCAGTGCAGCTCTATGTCGATATTATTGTGACCAGGATCACAATTGTGCATGACATTGCAATATTTTTTGTTATAATTTTAGAATTACATCTTCAGAAACTATTTCCTATGATAATCAAATTATCATAAACACAGGATTTGCATCATAAATTTCCTTTGAGTTGCACCATCACACCTAACTATTTCCTATGATAATCAAATTATCATACACACAGGATTAAGTCTTTTAAGTGTCACACAATGATTACTGTTCTGTCATGCAATGCTTTCAAATTGTCTTGTTAGTGCCTTGCTATGGTATGACAATCGATTGTATTTTTTACTAATTGTTTTATTTGATTATTTTAAATTATTAATTTGCTATTTGTCATTTACTTCCTTTAGCTTGCAATCATCCTTTCTTTTTATCAGTATTATTTCTTTTGTACTTTCCTGTATAAATAAATTTTATTGTGGCTATAAGTCTGTCTAGTTGTTCAAATAACAACATCAGAACCTGCCTCGGTCACGTTATTTTTAAAACTTAAATTTTGCTCAATATTTACAAAATGCAGTCATTGTAATTGGTGCAACAAGTGGGAGGAGAAGGGAAGGGTATACCAAAGAGAGGTCACTTTCAATTTTTCTTCAGTTTCCAAAGTGGCCTTATTGGAACATGAAATGAATGCAAGATAGATACTTTAGTATTTCGTTCAAAATTGTTTAGTTAGCAAATGATTTTCTTTAAGTTATTTGCTCACCCCCTGGAAAAAAAACTGCAACTGAATTTAAAAATTAGTTTGGGATGACTTACACGTGACGACGGAAGTTTATCTGGGAATCAATAGTTTGAGTGACAAGTTCGTGGAACACATTTCCATTCTCTGCCTTGGGCCCCATGAACCAGGCACCAAGAGCAGCCCAAGGCTTTTCGCGCTTGTGGCTGCCATCCTGGTGCTTAGAGAACATGTTTCTGTGGTGGCTGTACATTGGTGCTCCTTTAGACATCCGTTGTCTTTTTCCTCCTGGCCCAGCCGCTCGATGAGCTGTCCTTTTGCGGCTCTGAAGCATGTTTGCAGCTGAAGAACACAACACAGTTCTGAGTTAGGTGAGTAGTCTCATTACGAAATCAAGTCTATTTAAAATAGAGAATGGCCTATGGAGCGTAAAGAATAGAGGATTGGAACGGGAGGGAATGGGATGAGAAAGGACAAGCTGTGAGACGAAAGGTTCTGTCTTCCTCGTTCCCTGACACACTCGTGATGCGAACGTACTCAAGGAAGGTCGGTAAAACATGAAAACCTTTGACAGGAAATTTTGAAAACAACAGAAAAAAAGGCGTCAAAGGTGCAAATCCTGAAACCGCTCATAGTTGGCATTCACCGCACGATTTTGTATCTCCGCCGCTCAATGCTTCAAAGAACGTATAAAACCTCCAGCCATGCAGAATTTTAGGTCCCGATAAGTGCCAAAGTATCATTTAGCGACTGTTGGCAAGAGAGTGTAGTCGGTACGGTAACGTAGGTACGAGTAGGAAAGGGCCAACTTAGGTCGATTCGTTGCGTGACGCTGTCCATTAATTTGAAAATAAAAAATTCAGCATTGACATTTCAAAGGCGCTTTGTCTGGTTATTGACATGGTGAAAAACAACTCCTTAATATGCATAAAAGGTAGGAACACTGGAATGTATTAATTCCAAACGCACATTGCACATACAACAACATTTGCCAAAAGTAAGAAGCAAATGTTTCAGATAAGTTACGCCTAACACATTATGCTTGTAAGACTAAACGCGGGGGAACATTTTTGGGATTTTTCCAGGTTTTTTGGAGGCCATGGCTCATTTTAATTGACAAGAGTTCATTGTTTGCCTACATTTGGATTCTTCTTCATAAATTGTCGTTTCAAGGTTTCTCGTGACTAAGAATATTCTTGCGCGTGACGTGCTCATTTCGTAAAACATGCATCGATATTTTTTATGACCTCGTTCAGTATTGCTCATTCATTATCTATCTTTTGTTTCCGTCGCCCACTGTAATTGTCCCTTCCCTCTGTGAATATGATATGTTGCTAAAATCCCACTCCCATCCTCCCATGGCTTCTTGCAACTCTTATCTCAGGTGGAGTGCCTTACAGAACGTCTGTTGTAACGAAGCAATTGCTCGCAGCTTAGCCAAAATTTTATAAATAGTTTTGGGTTAAGTTTGTTGTCTTCGTTGACACTTCCATGCTAATTTACACGTAAACGTTGACTTGGCAGAAAACTATAGTTTGCTTGACTCTTGACGTGTTGCTCAGATCAGAATTGAAAAGTGTACTTTTAGCCCTGTAAGACATTGCCACTGAAATACACAGCACTTTGAAGGTTTCATCTTTCCACTGACACAATTGAGTGGAATTAGGTGTAACACGATGTTCTTTTGAAAACTATCCCTCTGAGACATGGCTGTCGGTCGCTACTTCGATCCACTCTGGCGTACTAGTAATCAACCCACACCCATACCGTGATGGCAAGAATGGATCCTTTGATCCTTTCATTATCATCTAGAAATTTGTAAATCCATGACCCTTACCTTAAAGCAAGTGATTCTTAATGATCTAGAAAACCACCTCAGACACAAAGAGTTTTCAGCCTGTGTTCTCTGGTACGTGACACTGAGGATTGGTAACCTTTGCCGTCTGAGTGCTATTCAAGGAGCGCTCCTTTATCAACGTATCAGACAGTATTGAATAGCGGTCGTTTGCGTCTTTTATATTTTTGGCGTGGTTCCCACGACCT